TGTGGCCCGGTGTTTAGTTCAAGCCCTGGTCATTTGATTCAAATCAAGTTCATGTTCCATGTTTGCTCGGTTCAAGTCAAATCCCCTAAACTTAGTTCATTTGTGTTCAAATCAAGCCTCATGTTTACTTTGAATTTTGACAGCCTCCAAACGTCTCACCCGTTTAAGGTAACTACAGGAATCTTAGCATGCCCGCCATGTCAAGAAAGGCGTACACGGTCAGTGTCGGATAACACCACAGTCATAATCCTCAATCCCACCACGCCAAGAAAGGCATCCATTGTCCTTCGAGGGTACTTGTTTGAAAGCACACGATCATTTCTCTGTCAGCACTGAGGCCCGTACGAGTACTTATGTTTTGCCCCATCGTGCTAAGAAAAACGCGCATGAGGCTCAATGACTCGTAATATTGATTAATCAACACGAGTAATAACATTAATCACATCAAATAAAAATAACAATCAATACTAATAGTAAAATTAAATGAGTAGAGAACCTATTCTTTGGGTAGGTGGGTGGTTTTGTAGGATGAGGAATTATTGTTGAATGGTGTAATGGACTTTTTGTTTGAAATGGGTTGATCGCAAATGATTGATGGTTAAAGGAGAAGTTAAGGTCAAAGCCAGCGGGCAAATTGGGATTTGCGGCTTAAGAAAGTGGAGAGGAAGGATGTTAGGGGTTTCGGCTTGAGGTTTGGAGCAAGGAGAAGATCGGGTAGAGTACGGTCGGCTTCGATCGGAGCAGGCGAGATCGGGAGGTCGTATGAGGGGTCGGTCGAGTTATGTCAAGTGACTCACAAGCAAGGAAGGGTGAAGTCTTGGATTGAGGGCCTAGCACAGCTGAAGGAGTTCGAACTGCTGCAGAGGGAAAGGTCAGCGGGATATAGTGGCTGTATGTGGAAGGATCGGCGGAATGCACAGGCTGCATGTGGATGTATGTTCTTGTGTTCTACCCATCAAATGGAGTAAATTGTTATATAGACGTGTGTACTAATTTGCAACGGGATGAAAGTTATTGCATTAAACAACAAAATAAAATTCCTAAAGTTAAAAATCAATATTACCATTCAAATATACAAATTACTGTAGTTGGCATTTATTTAATGCCTGCAAGCACTTTGTGTGGCATGTAATGGTAGAAAGAAGGGCTAATAAGATAATTGAGCATTCCCATAGGATAATTTATTATCCCTTCAGCCGATTAAAAGCCTCCTAGGTCTGCACGATGTTGTTGCGGGGTTCAGGTTGGGAGCTGGAGCCAGTAGGCACAGCAGAAGTTGGAGCGGGTAAGCACAGAAGGAGCTAGATCGAGTAAGAACATTAGGAGCTGGAGCGGGTGCTGGCCAAATCTTGTTGTGGGTAAATTTGGTATCAGAGGAATAAGGGCGGAGTAAAGAAGAAAAAACGGGGAAGAAATGAAGGCAGCGTAAGAAAATATTAGAGGAAAAGGTAAAGAATTTTATGCTTCTTTTTAAATTTTGATGTGGAAAAAAAGAGTTTGGTTAAATATATCAATTGATGTTTCAGCTTAATCGTAGTGTGGGAGGGAAATTAATTCATGGAGTTTATGTATGCGACCTGAAAATTATAAGGAAAATTGAAAGGTATTTGAATTGTGAATTGAGATAATTGGGTTAGTCGAATAGTAGATAACAAGAATGAGTATTGAATGATTTAAGTGGGTGTAGGTGCCCTATACGTGCAAGTGGAGGCGAGGTGCCAATCTGACGAATCTGAATAGCAAGGGGGTAAGATTTGCAAGTGATTATATCAATGTATAAGTGCATAGACTTTAATAGTAACGTAACATTCGCATATGCATTTTACATGTGGAACTATTCTGAACTATTCTACATAATTATTTCATATGTCATTAATTTGGAGATGTGAGAATGTTCGGGTATGTTGTTTTTGTTATGCATTAAATGAAAACGGATAACTTATCCAATTAAACTCACCTATACACTAACATATCGTACAATCAATTGGATTTATTTGAATCTCAATACTTATACCTACTCAAAGAACATGTTACATATATAGGCAAAAGCAATGATAAGAAAAGCCTGAAGAAATGTCATGTTAGGTGATAGACAGCTGAGGGCGATGTGACCCAATGAGCAGTGCGACCTAGTAAAGGCTATATCTGAGAAAGCCTATGAGCTATAATAGCATTATGAGGCCTACAGGCTAAGAATCCTATGGGCTATAAAGGTAGTGCGACCTCAAAAGTTTATGAGCTATAGACCTAAACCAAGACATCCTAAAATGACACATCTTAAAGCTAACAATGGGAAGTTAAGAAATGAACATAATTTATAATGATGATGGCATATTGTGAGGGTCTGATTTACATATCCTGCACAATGGAATTTTGCGGACAGTGATGTCATTGATAAATATATAACATGAAGTTGAATAAGAGATTGAAGTGAACCTAGTAATATCATATTGCAGTTTACATATAGCATGCCTAGTATATTCTTTATAACTGTTATTCCTACATACTTATACATTTCTCATTACTGTTATTATAGCCTCAAATTATTTACATATGTTCTTTTAACACACATTGAACTATCTACCGAAGCTCATATTATCAATCATTTCCTACACTTATTGTAGCAATAGAATTGCATATATTTATGGGTGTCACAGCCCACAAGATCATTATTCTGGTTGTTTTAAAAGAAAGGGAGAAGATAAAGTTGAGCCAGATTAGTACCAGATTCACTTGTGTTTTAAGGTTACTTTTGTCTTTATAAGAAATGCTTGGATAACGGTCAGTAGTTTGTTAATAGTAAATGTGATGCGGACATCCAACCGTCCATGCTAATCCGAGGAGGAGCTGAAGATCGACGACCGAGATCACTTTGTGTTTATTTTCGTTTATTAAGTGTATTTTAATTTAGTTTTGCAATTTCCCTTTTTTACCCTCTTGTCTTATGTATTTGCTCTTCAAGACCCATAGGATTCAAGCCTCCTACCCGTTCTACATCAAAATGCTTTGTTTTTTGAGTTGTAGCTACTCTGTATATGAAAATATTTGGAAATAAAAAAGAAATTTTTGAACAGCTTCCACCTATACTAGATGTTTCAGATTATGATGTCTTCTGTAATACTTCACTTTGTTGAGCATGAATTGTTTCGAAGTGATGGAAGAGTAAAAGTTTCCTATAGCCTCTATTGCAGCCTACATCGCTGGGTTGGATTAGGATCAACTTGGGGTGGTGGCATGGGGTGTGATAACAAACTTGCTAAAAAAAAGCATCTCAACCAATTCAAATCAAATCAAATGAATCAATCCCTATCACTAAATATAATAAATATTGAGCCTAAAAATAAAACTACACAAACTTCAACTAAACATCCCTTACACATGTTTTATCATACATGTACAGATGAATGACTCTTGATGCATACACCGATGATATATATGACAACTTCAAAATATTAAACATTTTTAGGAGACACCCTCATGACTTAGACAAGTAAAATAAAATAAATATGCGGCAGAAGGACCTAACACAAAAATTGAATTTAAATCTATGGCACTGAGAATTCGCAAATTTCTATTAATAAAAACTATCTAGGGTGAATTAATGATTGAATGGAAAGAACTATAAGACTATGGTGATAACAAGTCAACCATCAATATTGAACATAATCTCATGCATGCAATATAAATGTACAAAGCATGTTGAAGTTGATAAGCCCCTTATGAAGGAGAAGCTCGATAATGGTCTAATATGTACTCCGTTTGTAATTTGTAGGTGAACTTACTGACATTCGCAAAAACAAATATTATCATGGACAATCTTTGAAAAATTATCAGGCAAGCTTATAAAGGATGAGATCAATTCATTCACTTGGGAAGAAGTATGAAATGCCTACATACTAGCTAGGACCCACACTCACCAAGACTTCTGCCCACTTTCTTTTTTCCATCTGCTACCACCTCATTTCATCTATGGGATACCTATTACCTATTTATCAATTCATGAACAATTGTAATTATTTTACAAATTCTTCTGCTAACTTATCAATTTGAGTCCTTCGTAACTATTCTTCCTAATTTTATGTGTTTCGTATTAAAAGCACTGCTAGGATTGTATAAATACTGCACAAATATTAGAACAAAAAATTCGACCAATTTTCTCCAATTCTTATCACTAATCAAAAGTTAGACATGAACAACAAATACAACCCAGATTAAGGAGAAGTGTTGAAATAATCTAGAATTTGTGGCTAACACATTTACACCTACAATCGACCAGCAATTTATTGAAAAAAACTTTTCATCTACTGCAATCTAGCAATCCGTGGATAAGAACTTTTCATCTACAGCAAGCTAGCAACCTATGAACAACAGCATTTTTTTCTATAATAGTTAAAAAAATTCATGGATAGTAGCATTTCATTCATGCAGTATAATTAACTCTGGATGCCAGAATTAAAGATTAGCTTCAAGATTTATATTTTGCCATAGTTATTTCTCAATCAACATATGTATTGCTTATCATCTTATTTTTTTATACATAATACAACAACAACAACATCAAGCCTTTGTCCCACTATGTGGGGTCGGCTACATAAATCCTTTTTCGCCATTTTGTCCGGTTAAAAGTCAAATTCTCATTTAAATCTAATAAAGAAATATCATTTCTGATATTTTCTAACCAAGTCTTTTTAGATCTACCTCTACCTTTCTTAACATAAGTCGAATCTAATACCTCAACTTTCCTAACCGGGTCATCGGAAGACCTCCGTTTAATGTGACCAACCCATCTAAGGCGACTATCTCTAATCTTATCTTCCACTGGAGCTACTCCGTTTAATGTGACCAGCCTTTTTTATACAGAATGAGAGAACAAAATTCACTTGTACAATCTCCAATTTTCTACTCTTATCTCTTCTCATACTAATTCTAAGATAGATGATATTTAATGACTTACCATTCAAAACAAAATTAATTATTTAAAAGTATGAAAAGATACTAACCTGGTCAATAATTAAAAGAATTCCACTTGCAACTACTGGAATGAATTTGCGATCCAGCTGTAGAAGAACCCTCGCATTATCAAAGCAATCCTTATTTATGGAAGCAGGCACCAATGAACTACCAGAAAGATGTAAAAGGCCAGAAGAAATGTCTAGCACATCAACCTTATGTGGCATAGCACCATCCTAGCAAATAAAAAAAAATACCATGGTTAGGTAAATATATCAATTTGAACTTGATCATTTGACATGAAATTAGACTAGATCTTAGACATGATTAAATGCAGGCTGCAGGCAGTCAGTCCGCCACTTTGTCAGTGAAGATGATGCAGGGTCTATTTCATCAGGTTCATAACCTACAATAGATTCACAGCAACAACAAAAAGTTGTAAATAAATGGAATTGTTCATACCTACAATGTACCTACAAATGTGGGGACTCAAGATAATAAAATGCATTTACCATTATCAAATTCTTCAGAAGCCTGTATCTCAATCAGGTTGCTATGATTTGACTTGTCATAATTTAATTCCCTGATAAGAGAAACAAGGATGGTTAGATAGCAAATAAAATTCAATCCAAAAATTACAAATGACTAGTAAACTACCATAAGCATGGCTTTTTAAGCTCAGTAATCGGCTTCATACAAGGCTGTGAGGCACTATAAGGTTCTAGCTGACAATTTAATCCTGAGGAAAAATCACAGTAGTTAAAAAAATTAATAAACATGGCAAAAGAAAATAATAATTCAATAAAAACAAACCTGGCTCATCAATACAATAAGATGACATCATTTTAGAATTTTCTCTGACATGATCCGTCAAAAGACAATTTAAGATGGGAAACTTCTTCTTGCCCTTGTAAAATGGTGGAGCAGAATGACTTCTCCTCGATCTTAACTCTCGAACATCAGAAAATAAAGAATTTTGAAACTCATTGTTCTTGGAGGGGCTTTCAGCAGCTTCATCATAATTTTGCGTGACCGAATTATGAAGGCTGGTGTTATAGATGTCTGTATGTTCAATACTTGAAGACACAGACAGCAAGCAGCCTTTTTCTTCTTTTAATATAGACGCTGAACCACCTTTTGTGGAGGTGAATTGATCTAGAAGGTAGTCATGCTGAAGATGCTTGATGGAACTTGGGCAAAATTTATGATCCACCACAGTTCTGCCTGTAAAGCATAGGTCAGGCGGAAGCTCCCGTGATTCATTCAAAACAGATTCAAGAAATTTAGCATTTGTCTCTTCAATGGCACAATGATTCTCTATCAAAGTAGAGTCGCACACAATTTCATGATGCCTTGGAGGTGTTCTAACAATCGACGGATCTGTGAAACCAAAATGTGAGAACCCCCATTCGGAGTCAGCATCAACATATTCAAAGTTTTGATGGCTAAGGCTAGTCTCAGATAAGCATGCATGGTCACAAAAAGAAGGGCAAATTTCAAAGCAAGATTGTTGAGTCAACTTCTGGCATTTTCTAATGACACCAACCACAGGACTTTGTGAGTCGCTTCTTTCTTGAAGAAGACAATCGCTGATATTCTTTTTGAAAATAAGATTGTCGCTGCAATGTAAACAACTGCTATACTGATTTTCACCTAAAGTGCATTCTTCTTTAACAGAAAAAGGTTCGTTCAAAAATTCATGATGTTCGCCAAACACACAGCTTGATGAGCAGCACGTTGAGTTAACTAAATCATTTTCCATGGGAGCATAAGTTTTAACAGAACCATTGCAAGCTATGGGAGAATAATAGATGTCACCTACTATTTCACAAGGCGCATATCTTTTGCAGTTCATACGTCTTGAATGCTTACCGTTGGTAGAAGTACCCATTAAAATGTTATCTTCATGTTGGAAAAGGCTGTTACACAGCTCAACAAGATCATCATTACTATGAAATCTCTTAGGACATGAAACGTAATCTGCTTCATCATCACTTAATCGATTGTGTTTTTGATAATTGCTTGCATAACCAAAAGAGGTAACCAATGGGTTGCTAATTTGGAAACGGGAGCCTAAACCTTCAAAGAAATTAGAACTGTCCTTCATTGATTTGATATCGGATTTCTTAGTGATACCTTCACTGAACAAGTCTGCTAGAAGGAGTTGCGTCTTAAAAAGCATAACAAATATTTCAATTATATAAGCAAGCAGATAGTTTTCACATCTCTTGGAAAAATGAAATAGATCAATTCGAAATAATTCAAGTAGGCTAATAGTTAATTGTGCTATGGAATAGATATGATATCCGCCACAAAACAGGAACCTGTGGTAGTAAATGAAACACCAAGATCCTCTATTATCAAATGAGAAGTTTCTACCTTCTCTCAGCGGTCCACTTTCTTGAAAAGAAGCTTCACAAGAAGCACCTTCCGCTGCATAAAAAAAGAATCTGATTATTGAAACTAAGCATGGTTCAAAGAAAATATATATATTCAGCCAGATAAGTTCTGCATGGACATAATTCTGACCTTGAAATACATTTGATGCAAACCGTTCCCAGTATGGTATTATTGCTTGCTCAAAGAATGATAAAACGGTGCCCCAGTCCTGAAAGAACAAATTAAGAAAAAAAAAGACATGAAGGAATGCAAAAAACTGAACGTGTGCACATGTGTTTGAAGCATTAATAATAGTTGAGTAACTAGGACTATTATGCCTTTTAGAGATAAGTTTATGGGATCAACTCTTTTCTCAAAACAAACAATGAACTTTACACTTGTTTCAAATCATTGCTAACTCCAATCTACTATTTTCCAGTCATTGGTTTAGATAATTCACCCTCGATGAGATCACCTCCATAACACTGAGGCACTTAGACTCTTCTAATTCTACCAAATCTATAAACCTATATTATCAACCTTTGTTCCCCAGCAATAGTTGTGTCAATGTCTTTCATCTCACCAAGCCAACCTCTGTAAGTGCTCTTTGTCAACATTTTTATTGATTTATCCATTACAACAAGCATATATATTATTTTCTCAATTCCTTTATGTTATTATAACACAGAGATAGGATTTATTCAATGAGTTGTGTTTCTAACTCACCATTGCATTTAATCAATATATTTACATGAAAAAATCTAGATAATTAAATGAGCGGGCAATTGTACAGTTAAAATGGTGATATAACTAAATAGTATGTATACTATCTGGATGATTGGCAGAGATGAGTTAATAATGCTTATATTCAAATCATTAAAGATATGTATACAGGAGCTATTACTTGTGTTCAAACACAAGGTGGTTTGACCAAGTATTTCCCTATTTCGGTTGGGATTTTTTGTTTAAATAAACTTTTTGTAATAATAGTTCTTTCATAATATTTGATTATGATATTAAGGGTTTTGAAATTTTGGGCTTTTGGACAACTGCATTTTAAATGCAAAGTAATTTCAGAGTGAGTTTCAAATTCAGCTTCAACTTCACTTTGGGCGTCTTTAGAATTATCTCATTTCAAGTAATTCCAAATATACAATCTGGGTAAGTGATGTCGGTCGTCATCCACTACCTGCCTCTGCCAACTGCAATTACCGCCACTAAACCCGTCGTTTGCAATGACTGCCACCCAACTATGATAGCAACCGCATTTCAACACCTCCATCGACCACCTCTGATCAACTATTATTCTAAATGCACTACTATTTTACTATGCATTCCCTTATTGCAAACCAAAATAAAAGGTAAACTTCTACATTAGTGCCCTCAACCACACAACTCCAAAAAATTTTTCATACTGTTTTATTTTATAATGCATTCATTTTACTCTCTTTTTTTCATCAAATCAAATAGCCCCATAATAGAAATATTTAAATTTTCATCCAACTACTTGCTCTATCTTAATGTTCCAAGCTCCCAAGCCAAGTAATGATAGAATTCTCCAACCAAATTTTGGGTGTTATCATAAGTTTTTAGGCATTGTCTAATCTAGCAATATGCCTTCTAAAAAATCAACCGGAAATCACTGGGATCGATGAATAGAATCGGTTTTTGAAGCCCAAAATCCGTCTTTCTTATGTTTTTCAAAGCAAATTTTCTAGCACTACCATACCAAAATAAAAATTAAATACCAATTAAAATAAGGAGAATTCTTACATAAACTTCATTGGACAATTCACAATTCCTCAAAAAAATTCTTCACCATGACCTTAGTTCGGTAAACTAAAATTGCATTATCTTATGAGAGTAGCCTAGCAGCAATAGAAGCTTTAAATTGTGATGCATCCTTCATGCCTCACATTCTAGCTTGATAGCCTATGCTATAAAAAGAGAAATTGCCAAACAAAGCATTCACTTAGAAAACGACAAACAGTAATTTATAAGAAATAAGAGAGCTTAAACGATCAAAAAATGGAATCTCAGTTAGCAAATTCAGTAAATCATTCTTTAAGATGTAGATGCTAAAAATACATAAATGCATTCTTGGTAACAAGTGGTTCGAAGAAGTAAGAATATCATAAGGATAATAGCAGGAGGATGATAAGCAAGTATCCATGGGATAGAACCTTGAATTCAACTATAGTCTTCGAAGGCTCAAAAGTTAGATCATAGCTTGACATAGGACAGCAAAGATTAAGCAAATATGCTGGATACCCTTGAGTTTTTTGTCTCTTCCTGCAATGATTTTCAGAGCTATCCCTCTTCTTAGCAGTAGTGGAATGAAAATTTGTTGCAATACTATTAATCAAATTATGGATTGGACCCTTGCAGACGAATCTTGCATTGATATCTGAAACTGTGAAGGAAACAATATTGAAGCTTAAGGAAATAGATTAAAAACAAGGGCAAATAGGATACAGATATACTGCAATACCTGCAAAGAAAATAATACACTGAATGAACTGATAAACAACATTATGCTCAAGTATATTTACGCCAAAGAAAACTATATAAATACCTTTGTCGAGAATGCATCTGTTGGCCCTGACATGTACCCAGAAAGGGTAAATTCTCGATCAGAGTAAACAATTTCTCGGAGTGAACTAGAAACCTCATTTCCAAAACCATCACTAACCAAAGACAAAGAAGACCGGCCAGCAATTGTGCAAAGCAGTTTATGCTCACTGCACCAACAAACATAACTGAAATTAAAAAAGATATTCATAAGATCCTGAAGTGTATACTCTTATATAAAAAACTCACCCCTCAATTTCAATAACCTTGAATGACACGTGTGGATGTACAAGAGCTATCCGAAATACACATTTCTTCACAGAATGCAGTACCTTTCTAAGGCTTCAAGGTACAAAATGGACAAAACACGTGTCACTCCACAAAATATGTTAAGTGGTGATTTTAGTTAAAACTCATAGCTAAAAAAGATAGAATAACATGATAGACATTAACCTAGATTGCATGAATTTCCTCCGAATTGGTTGGTTATAAAATAAATCTCGAACAATTACTGCAAGAAGAAAAAAATAAAATCAATTGTTAAATGACTAATTCAATAAAAACTAGCTGCATTTACTTTCAAGTGACCGATAGAAATGCAAAAATGATGGAATGCTAAGACTAGAGTAAGCGCTTATTTGGCTGCTCTATGCTATGTAATTGCTGGCTTCAGTCGCTGCAGGTACATCAACAAGCAGCGAACAAGCAGCAAAATTTTGCAAAAGAGATCTTCTCTGCTATTCGGGGAAAAAGCAACATTCTGCTAAAGCAACAGTATGAGCTAGGCACTTCCACTAGAAACGGTTTGCAGATAAAACGGAATACACATCTCAATTATGACAATTTCAACAGGTCTTTTTTTTTTGGTCAACGGAGAAAACAAACAATGTCGGCGGAACATTATGTTGTCCACAGCTGGTTGATACAGGGAAATCAGCAGGCATCCATTTTCCAGCTAGCAGAGATCCTCTGCAGGACACCATCGAAAAGCCAGAAAAATTGTACAGGTGTAACTTTAGTTAACTTGGGCATTTCCCTACGTAAGTTAACAAATAAGCCTTAGTTGTATACATGAAACTACAACAACTTCAAAAGCAATTCTTTTGGGTTAGAGGCGAAAACAAACAATTTTAGCAGATTCTTAGTTGTTCCACAAGATCTTATGTTATCTGGCTAAGGGTACAAGACATATCGCATACATATCAAACCATTAAAAGATATATAAATAATAAACAAACAAATAAAAAACAAACTACATAAAAATAATCATAATAAAAGAATATTCTAAGGAAACCATTCAAGATACATTCATAGGGAAACATCCTGCCATTGATTACATTTAAGTCAATACTACAAGATAGTCAGAAAGGAATGATATTCCCCTACCACCCATACCATGATTATGACCTCAAAGATGCATCATTCAATAAAGATTTCACATCTAGCAACGGCATGCTAACTATGTAATGAAACAGATTTAAGACAATAATTTTTTTTACCTGAACCAGCCCTAAGCAATTACTCGCATGCCATTGACCAACTCAAGCACCTTAGTTGCACTTCCTCAAGTCATAATAGTTTAGGAGGGTATAAGGTGGAATTATTCACACAAACCTCTCCCTCTCATTTTGAAAATTTGTGCAGTTCAAATAAGATGGATTTCGAGTCCTTGATTCAAATAAGATGATTTCAGATCAAATGGTCTAAATTAAAAATTAATAATATTTAAAAAAAACTAAAATTTAATAAAAAAACTTAAAACCTATTCATGTTATGTATTTCTATTACTCTTCCTCAAATTTCGTTCCAGTCCTCGTCCAAATTGAGAACCCAGTGCCGACCACAACGCGCCAACGTCTCTCCCCACAGCAAGTACTCTTCGTCTCTGGCATCGCACTCCTTTAAGTTCTCTCTCCACATTCAACATTCAACGTTAGTCGCCACTCACCTCCCATGGGATGTAAGATTTCTTCCTGGAGAAATAAAATTTCTTGATATATTAAATTGAGGTTTTGAGTTTCAAAAATGTTTTTGCAAAGTTCATTACATCTTATTGAGCAATCCATATTTTGTATGGTTATTTTCAAAATTAATGTAAGATTTTTTTTTTTTTTTTTGCAATGTTCATTCAAAATGAGCATATACGTGAAAAGGTTGGAGTAGCTCCAGTGGAAGATAAGATTAGAGAGATTTGAGCTCGCATAGACAAGGCAAGAACAAATATCGGACTTAAATGTTAGAACATAACATTTCAATATCATTAAAAACTGAAATATGTGAATCTAAAACAACTCAAAAGATAATTAGTGCCTCTAAAAACAACTTCCAATATTATAACAAAACATTTCATATCTAAACATCATAGGATTTACAAAGGGTGGCTAAAAGTTTGTCATGTCAACATCCACCCACAAAATCATTTTTACACAAAAACAACAAAAATGCACTAAGAACATGTCCTCATGTTATCTACGGATGTACGTAAATCATGGTCGTTCAGCCATCACCTAGCAATAGAATCACCTGAAAAATATCTCAAAACTAGGAAATGAGCTAACGCTCAACAAATAACAATTACATTTAAGCTTATGTGCAATATAGAGGAATCAACATGAATGCCTATGAATATATTCCATAAACTCTTTATGAAATGAAATGAAAACATTTAAATGGCATAGACTTCTAAACTTTCTTACTTTGCCTTACAATATATATATATATTTGGTCAGGTACAATCTCATATTTGGTCATTCATCATAATTTTGGCCCGAAGAGCCGTATTGTGCAAGTGCACCGTATTGGAACTCCGCCTCAACATAGACAAACTTGCATATCATTTTGATATCATAACATAAGATGATTTAACATATCTAACATACCAACCATACATATATTTGATCCACTAAAATGCATTTGATAAAACATGAAAGTGAATTTATGTGCATATGAAGAATTTTCTATCTAAACATGAAATGTAACAATGCAACATAATCATCCATAGGCAACTCAAGACACAAATAACATCTTAAAGATTTATGTAAAGAGTTTTCTATCAAGACATGAAATGTAGCAAAGCAACATAAAAAAAAACTTAAAAGAGAACAAACATGAAGTTTAGAATGTAATTGTCACTTACCCTAAGCACTATGCAAACCTCCACGAACCAATCTCTTCTTAGGTTTGTTACCTAAAGAAACAAACACTTAAATTAATACACAAGAAATTCATTAAATATTTTCATTCTCTAAATTCCCTTCCTAATTACTCTACCTAAGCGATTAATGAACTCCCTAATTACTCTACCTAAGAAATTTATGAAATTTCAACATACAAAATTCGGATTTAATTAAAATCCAAATTTTTGAAACCCAAAATTTTCATATTTCCTTCCAATTACTATTTAAATCATTTTTCTTAACCTATATTATCATTAAACCTAATTATTTTTTCGATTAAATTAATTTAGAAATTAGGAAAAAATATTTTTTCTCAAAATCTTACTTTCTCTTAATTAGAGCCCTCCCATGACTCCTAGGAACAATATTAGTTAACAACTTGGCTCAAAATCTTAAAATTAGAAAAAGCCCTAATTTTTTAAATTACAAAAACTTTAGGGAAAATTCAAATATTTGTATTTTCTCATATTTTCCATTTTCTAATTTATAAAATTTACTTAACATAAAATGATTATAAAATTCGATTTTGTCCAAAACCCTAAATTTTGAAACTTAATTTTTCATCTTTTTTCATCATAAATGTATTTAAAACTCTCCCATATCTCTAAACTACTAATTAAATATATTAATTTTCGCATTTCATTAAATTTAAAAATTAGAAAAATAAAAATTTTAGTCAATCCCTAATTTTACCCTAAAAGAAACATTCCTAAGGCTATTAGGAATGTTAGTTGTGAAAGCATTTTCAGAAAAACTTAATTTTTGAAAAATCCTAATTTTAAAATCCTCAAAAATTGTGGAAGAAAACTAGAGTTAGGGTTAAAATCATGCTCTAAAACATTCCCTATCATTTTTCTATGAAAATACTAAGATTTGAGCAAACCCTAAAATTTAAACCTAAAGAAATCTAGGGAAAAAGAAAGTTTCCTTGCAAGAGAAACTTACCTCCTTCTTCCTTAGCCTTTCCCATTTGATTTCCCCTCAAGACCTCGCCGGAGAACACTTGTCGCCGCCGCCGGATTCCACTTGCAACCGACGCCCTCTCCCCTTTCTCGCGTGCGGCCGAACGAAGGAGGCAAGGGACTCAATGGTTCGGTCCCTTAGGCCGACGGGGGCTTAAGGAAAACAGTTAAATGCCAATTTACGCATGTACCCCTTCTCCTAATAATTTTCTTAAGGATCATGAGGATAATTTACTTAAACTAACTTCGACGAATTTTTGTTTTAAATTCATGCGAAATTAGGTATAGGTTCTTTATACCGTTTCGATCGAAATTTCGCACAGAATTTAATAAAATTATTTATGTTGAATTCCGACGACTTCAAAATTTTGCCTAATTTCATCGTGACGCATCAAAATGCGTGCGACGCATCCGATCGATAGTTTTCAGGTTTTAAGGTCACCTTATGTGGTTTGGTCACATTAAATGGAGGCCTTCCGATGACCCGGTTAGGAAAGTTGAGGTATTAGATTTGACTTATGTTAAGAAAGGTAGAGATAGACCTAAAAAGACTTGGTTATAAAATATTAGAAATGATCTTTCTTTATTAGATTTAAATGAGAATTTGAATCTTAATAGGACACAATGGAGAAAATTGATTCATGTAGCGACCCCACGTAGTGGGAAAATGGATTGATATTGTTGTTGTTGTATGTATTTATTTATGAGCTTCAGAAGTTTGTGCTTTGGGAAGGAAGAAAAACCTCTTCTTTCCTCTACCATATTATTTATAGGCTTCGGTTTATCATTTCTAATATGATGTTATATTAATTATTATACACTAAATAAAAAAATTATAAAGTCGTGTCCTTGCCGCACCTATGTCCTACATTTTCAAAAAAAAGTTGTCTCGTGTCCATGTTGTGTCTGTGTCGCCGTGTCTGTGCATCATAGTCTCCAATAGCTGAATATAATTCTAGTTGCAGGAATTAATTAGGGGAGTAAGGTTCTTGAAGCTGTTCTTGATTGCAAAAAGGGTTCTTGTTAGTCTTTGCTATTTTTTCTTCAATCTCTCGTACTACTAAGTAGTTTCATAAAGTTTTTTATATTGTTTAGTGTTATAAAAGTATACTAGTACTTGGTTATTATTTCCACTATCTAGTGGTGTCACTCTTTCCATTTTTAGTTATTTATTGATTAAAATTCTAGCTCAATGTCACTCTCCCAATTATAGTGTGGACTCCATCAAGCTCAATGTTCGTGAAAAACTCAGCACTTGGGTTGTTCTTAAACAACAATTCAAATATGAATATAATATTTAGGATTGATTCCTTAACAAAGCAAACACAAGCAAAGTTCTATTTGTTTGTATGCACTTCGTTAAAAGTTTGCCAAGATAAATATCATTATTATTATTACTATCACACACGCCTGATTTATGTGGTGTTAAATGTTGCCATTATGTTCTGAGGTCTTCGTTTGATTCTTTCTTCATTTTTTAATCGAAATAATATAAATTCAACTTTTACTAATAGTTTTTGCTTGTGTTCATTTATGCTCAAGAATAAGTCAAACAAAACAAACTGAACACAAACAATGAAAATAATTAAGGAGCCAAACTTGAGTAGAACTGCTTTTGTTTCTATGCAACTCATTCACACCATGTGTGTGGACAATCCTTTGTTTCCACTCCCAAGTTTAAATCAGCTAATTATGTGAGCGGACCATCTGACAGAAGTATGCAAACATATATCAATAATCTATTTTCTAAAACTAGAGACTAAGAATTAAATTATTCTAAACATTTGAAATCTCAAAACTTCAGTTCATAATGTTCGTTAAGCATAAGCAAAAGCTTGAAATTCCACTGCGCTTGTCCTAATTGGGGCTAGGTAAAATCAAGAGAGTCCCTAACAAAGTCCAAAAACTGGGCTAGTTTTCGGCCCAAACCTAGCTGTCTTCATATCAGTTTCGTTTTACCATTATTAAGTTCCAACAAAGTCGCTTTTCCACTACCAAACCCTACCCCCTAAGAGCATCATTTGTTTCCATGCTTTGGCTTGAAAATGAATTTCAGTCAAGGTAATCGAGGCAAATAGATTGCCAACCCATGCCTGCATTTAATTGTTACTCACAAAGTTGTTGATGTCAAACACATTCATGCAAAGCTTCCATGTTGAATACCCTGAAAGGATAGGATAACATAAGAGAAAACATAATCCCTAAGTCTGATTAAGAAATGTCATACATAGCCAGTATTAAATGGAGGCTAATCCAAGCTCGTATGAAACACACACTGCGACACTTGAATCTTATTATAACTATCGGGGTGCCATATTCTAATGCTATAATGGAAAAGCAAGAGAGAACATTACCAGTTGTGCCCACATCTTCCCGCTGGTCATCGATTCCAAAAAATAAGCACTTCGAGCTCTGCTTTGTTTAGGAAAGCATCAGGAAACAATCGTCCTGATAAATGTCAAAATAAGAAATAAGTATGTATACCTTTATAATCTTGCAATATGCATTTGGCTTTCCACGAGCTTTCGACCTGATTTCTAATAAAGATACATCAGAAATGGAAGAAAGAGCCTCTCCTCTAAAACCAAGGGCCTCTGCACCAGTACCAGCATCAGCCACAAGGTGAACCTTTGATGTAGCTGTTCATGTAAAATAGAAATCCAAATATTGATGGAATAGCACATTTTGGAGAGCATAATCATATAAGTGTTAAAACACTATTTTGCTATGCACTCATAAAGGACTCTGGGCACACCATAATAAAATAGACAAAAACAAAAAATTCATTGCAATTCAGTAATCAACCAAATATGAATGTAAGATCATTTCACTTGAACAAGAAAGACAATAAGATACTCCAGCAAACGAATACATCTAGCTCATTACCCTAACATAAGTGAATTCACTATAATAATGCCCATATAGACAATTGAAGAATTGTTGCCTGTATCACAACAAAGAGAATTCTAGCACCAAAACAGAGGGCTGACAAAAAGGACAAAGAGGGCAAAGAGAACAAATCCATATTTCACTCCTATTACTCATTGATTGTTATTACAGTCTATGATGCACAGACACAAACACGGTGATAGGGACATGACGAATAAGAAACACGTTAATTATTGAAAATATAAGATACGAACACGAATTGCATGAGGTATTATATTTTATATATTAAAAATGGTGCATAAAAATTGAATTACTAAAACATTAAGAATAATTGAGAAATAATAAATAACTTAACTAGTATGTGCACTTAAAATAATTAATATTAGGGAGATTTACGTACATAACACTTAAAAGTTACCTATTTACATATCTAACACCAAAAACTCTTAAAATACACACACAACACCTACTTCTTCACTATCCACTTATTTCTACCACTCTGCTCCGTGAGTCGCGCATGAGAACATTGCCTTAGTGACATTCAAATCTGCATGTGTGAGAGCAACTACTCTCGTGAAAGTTGCAAGCAGGTCAACCCACTCCAACCCTATTCCTCATGCCCTAAATCTTTTTATGTTGCTTGTCGTTTTGATAGTACCAGATGTTGGAGAAATTTTGTCATCCTCAATGGATTGCATATTTTGTGATCGAGCATGGCATAAAAAAGGTGATATATTATCCCGGAGAACAAAAATATCATTTCCTTATAGACTAATAACAAAATTTACAATTTTAACAGAGATTCCATCATTCAATATTTGATTTAATGGAATTTTTTTTATTCAGGGGAACTGATGCCCCATAGCGGCAAGGTTAATTACACTCAAGTATTTTAAACTTGAGAAAAATTTTGATTAAACTAATGATTTTCTTTCTTTTGAAAATAATCGAAAGATTGACTAAAAGTTTTCATTTTAAAATCCATAAAATTCTTGTTTAAAGATTTGGTATTTAGGAATTTCAAAAGAAGAGGGGGATCAACTTTGATTGGAGTTCTTGGAATGAGAGCCAAATGGAGGAAGAGTATTTGATTCTGATGGGAAACTCAGAGGTACTCAAAAACTATCATATATTGGGCTTTACATTTTAGAATCTAATTTTTTGTTTAAGTTGATCAATTTTATTAAGAATGTTGAAGCTTATACTCCAACAACACATGTTGGAGGAAATGCTTAGAAGGTGAGGGCTTATAAAATGACTGACGTCAACATATGCCTAAGACTCTAGAACTAAGGTGAGGACTGTTGAGGGGTAGTGCATCGAACCTAAGAATAACGGAATGCAAATGACTTACAAACCACACCTTGCATAAGACGTAGCCAGACGGAAGACAGCTCCTTCTCTCCGCTATCTGGATCGGTTCCACTCAAGATATCGCATGCAGCAAGCCAAATCGGAGGGGAAGTTGAATCCTCTTCACGCTCGGTTAAATGGAGACACAAGTCACAAACGAAGTCAAATGATGTTGACTTCCGTCTCCCACCCTCTATATACAGGAAACGAGGCCTCGATCGCTCGATAAGATTCTGCCACGATATACTGATCTTCTGTCACATAATTCAAAGGGGAAGACCCTGTAGCAAAGATCTTTGAATTTTAGCTGTTAGATTGACTTTCCTGATTTGGGGAAATGATGAGAGAGGGCCACAAAGTCGATATATCATGCTTAGGGTGAAATTGAACTTGAATTGGGTTAATTTGGCGGAAATTGGATCGGAACTGGACCCGATTCGAATCCATTTGGGTCGATATGTGTGTCCAATTGGGTCCGATCAAATTAATTTTGCAAAATTGGGCTCGAATCGGCACTGAATTGCATTGAACTTGGTTCGACGAGGCTCGAAGAAGTCTGATTATGTTCGATTTGGACTGATTGTGGGTCGATCCGATCAATTTGACTTTAATTTAATTAAATTGAGCTTTATTTAATTAAAAAGAGGCTCAATTTGGGTAGATTTTTGTTCGACGCCACTCGAACATAATATATCTTAAATTTGTCACCCTCATCAAACACTTATGGATGGTGTATGAACTGCTATCTTAAGCTTGAAAAATATATTTATTGCTTGAAATGCTTTTTTTTTCTTTTTTTTTTAATTTTGTTGAGATTTTTAGCCCCAAATGATTTATTTTGAAATTTTGGTGCATTTTAATAATAGGATCCACTTCGATTAGGATTTTAAGTTAAGGCGGCCATCGATAACGATGTTTTCCTGAAGCATTTGCATTTAAAATTGAGAGCTTTATTTTTGAAATCAAATCCCTCCAATTATGATAAACAACAAATACGTCAATCAAAAGGGTGTGAAATTTGAAACATATATTTTTACAACTTGATAGCTTGTTTTTAGATGGACCATTCCGAATATCATCTGCAATAGACGAACCAATTATAAGGATATTTGATTACTTGGAACCTTATCAAGCATATATGCTTGTTTATGAAGGATCGAGTGCATGTATGGGCATTTAGTTTATTATAGACCTTGTCAACTCCACCCTCATATGCAATGGATCATGCAGGTGTATTATAACTCATAACAGTTCTTATAGACATGTTTATAGAGTTTGCATTTTGCAAGTGAAGTTTTCTTGTAAGAGGAATAGAAGAACTTAAGCAAAGAAAATAATAAATATCACTGTGAGATCCACGATCAATTATTTGATGGCAAATTTACATAATTGCATTTAGAGTATGACTTGAATTTATTCTTTAACCGTGATTTGTATGAAATTTATTGCTTGAATATCTTTCAAGGAGTTCAAAACCTATCGACTCTAATTTTTGGGATGTGGAGGATCAGATTTAAGATAAAAAACTTACCACCCTACTATATATGTAGGGCAGCCCACTCAAGGGCATGATTACCTTGAAAAGTTTGAGTATAACTTTTAAAAAGAAGTTTGAATTTTTCAAAACAATTAGAAGTTTTTCAAACACCCACGGGAGGGGACAGTATTTTGATATTTCAATGTGACATTAACATATTTATCATAACACATGAAGGCAACTTGATGCATAATGGGTGTATACACTTTTCATGGTGTTTGCATAATTTTCAAGGATCCGTATTTGAGTTTAAAATTGCCATGAGAAACATTTACAAGACTTGAACATTATCTACATTTTCATTACGTGTTTAAATATTTTGCCATTAAAATGCATGCAAACTTTTCATTTTGAGTTATCAAAGATCGAATTATATCCACTTATGTATATATGTTACAGGTTGGGTTGCAACATTTAAAAGTTGGAATCTTTTTGTGTGAGGCAAATATATAAACTTTTTTTCTCTTTTTTGACGTTTACTCTCCTTTTATTTTGGTTTTTCTTATCTTTTTTGCCATTATTCTTTTTCTTTTTTTATCTCTAATTATATTTAGTAGAGATAGATAGAAAGGGAGGGACTTAGAGAGAGTAAGGAAAGAAAGGAAATGGAGAGGGATATTCAAATATAGAGGGAAAAGTAGGAAGAGGTGGCTATCAAAGTCAAACTTGGAGGAGCTGAGTCGATGAATTGACGTAAAAGAAGAGGGCTAAATGGCAAAATTTGCAAGGAGACGTTGGATTCAAGGCTAAACCGCAGGATTTCCAAAACAAACCCGCAGGTTATAGCTTATCCAAAAATAACATTTTCATAACATCATACTTCAAACATTACAAATCCCCCATATATATATAGGTATGAAAGGGAATACAAAGAGACACAATACATTAACTAACACAAGAACCTAAACATCACAATATTAAAACACCTAAAAATAAATCCCAAGCCAAGAAACCGAAGAGGTAGCCGCGGGAGCCGAAGCAGCAGCCGCACGGAACCAAGGAGGCCGCTTGGAAAAGGATCCCAGGCACAGAAAACCAGCAGCCAGCCGGAATCCAAGGGAGCAAATGCAATGAAACCTATGGAGGAAACCAAGGAGTCATGCATAGGAATACTAAACACCTTTCTTGGGATTCCAAAAGTCCTTTTTGGAACCCCAAGAGACATCATAAAAGAAGACTTTAAAATTATAAATAACATTTAATAAAAAGTAAGATAATAAATAAACTAAAATGTTAGCTAATAATGAGCTAACCCTTAGTTCAATAAATGAACTAAAGTTCAGCTCATAAATGAGCTAAAATTTCAGCTCAAATAGTAGACTCAAGGGAAGCCAAAATTTGTATTATTTTGGACATGAGTTGACCCCCCCTTTGTCTACATCAATTATCTACATTTTCATTACGTGTTTAAATATTTTGCCATTAAAATGCATGCAAACTTTTCATTTTGAGTTATCAAAGATCGAATTATATCCACTTATGTATATATGTTACAGGTTGGGTTGCAACATTTAAAAGTTGGAATCTTTTTGTGTGAGGCAAATATATAAACTTTTTTTTCTCTTTTTTGACATTTACTCTCTTTTTATTTTGGTTTTTCTTATCTTTTTTGCATTATTCTTTTTCTTTTTTTATCTCTAATTATATTTAGTAGAGATAGAGAGAAAGGGAGGGACTTAGAGAGAGTAAAGAAAGAAAGGAAATGGAGAGGGATATTCAAATATAGAGGGAAAAGTAGGAAGAGGTGGCTATCAAAGTCAAACTTTGAGGAGCTGAGTCGATGAATTGACGTAAAAGAAGAAAAGGCTAAATGGCAAAATTTGCAAGGAGACGTTGGATTCAAGGCTAAACGATGATTGG